AGTATACTAGATATTGGTGTCAGAAAGTAATATTGAAACCAAACCTCGTCTCGATTTTCCTTGAAATAACGCTACATTTGCATAACATTACAAATACAGATGTCATTTTAGTCTACCATCGAGTTACATGAAGTATTTTTTATCGGTTAAATTTAACATTTCAAGGAATCATTTCGTTCATTTTCTCAGATATTCTGCAAATATTTTTTTCGTTTATCAAAATGAGCTATTTCTGAACTATATGAAAACATAACAAATAAACCAACACAACATGGAATGAGTGCTAGTTCAATACTGAATTTATTGAAAGAGTTGAATAAAAGTATATTATGCGTGTCTCTGCCTAGCAAAATATTATATTATTCAACGAGTTCAATAAATTTAGTAATGAACCTATACGAATATAATATTATTCTAATCACATACACAAAATTTAGACTGTTTAAAGTGCAAAATAAATCATTTTCATTGACGAGTCTGTAGAGTGTAACGCTAACATTTATCGCGTCTTCAAACTATACTTGTACTCGTATAACGTAAACGTCGTCAAAATATAGTACCATTTTTACGGAGTCGCTAAATGACTATTCAGATAATGCCCTGTTTGTGCTGTCAAATGTAACATACTCAGTTCACTAGGGATCTTCATTGAGTGAATAAATGATTTTCTTGTTCCTGTAGCACACATATTCACAATATACTAACACTGCCAGTGCAATCGGGTCACGTGTATTTATTAGTTTATACACACAAAAAGTTTTGACAAATACATTATGATTGATAACCAATGACTTAATATCAATGCTGCGAAGAACATTGACTTTCTTATACTGTCTACAATCGGGTTTATGGTTGATATGCACGCAAATAATGTTCTGTCTTATTATATAGTTAATATTTCAAAATCCGTCTCTGGTATAACTTGAATTCTTTTATCACGTATTGTAAACCAGATACTCAAGTAAATATATTTCTTCATTACCATTTGCAAATATTTCAGTTTTAAATTCCTTGGTTGGTCTCTGTAAGAAGTTTTTTATTAATTTGAAAAAAAAAATCAAATATTTCATAACGATTGTATTTTTCATATTACATCAGTCTAATCAAAATAGTTCCGAAATGATTTCCTTTTATGTCTAATAAAATAGTTTGTGTAACAACGGAAATTTCGAATGATTTACGAGCGCATTAGATGTTGTATTCATTCAATTCGTTTCCGTTCTTTTTGTAACAAAATCATTGCAGAGAGATGCACAATTCTGTAAAACTGCCAGAGTAAGTATTCGGAAATGTTTGCCATTCCTTTACAGCTTGCGATAAAAGTTTATCAATATTTCTGCTTAAAATTACCGAATACTTACTCTGGCAGTTTTACAGAATTGTTACATTCGAAATTTCCGTTTTCAGTACTTCATTGTTACAAGAACTAATGTAGTACCAGTATGAATTTAAAGTCATTTTACATATTATGTAAATGCTTGTAAAACATATGTATATCGTTTATATATTCAACAAATGTGCGGCTAATATACCATGATCGATGCCAGAAACTAATATATTACTCAAACTTTGTCTCCGTAACATTACACATACAGACGTCATTTCTGTCTACCATCGAGCTACAGTAAGTTTTTCTTATCGGCTATATGTAAAATATCGAAGAAAACCTTTCTTTCATTTTCTCAGACAATCTGCCAACAGAAAATCGGTTTATTTGTTTGTTGCTTTTTCATTGTCGCTTCTCAAAAATGAACTATTTCTGAACTGAAACCAAAATATAACAAATGAACGAAAACATGACAAATGAACCTATACAAACTTAAAGGAAACCTACAATCACATGTACGTGGTTTTATATCACATAGGCTTTGAGGCTTGATCTTAATTCTCATATTTAATGTATTTCTTGTTTCAACTTTATGATAAACCGTCAACGAGTTTATGTTAATGAATCGGATGATTTTTATGATTAAGTTCAATGACCATTTACATATTGCCCTATTTGCGCTGTTAAATATTCACTAGGGATTCTTCATTGAGTGAGTTAATCATTTTTTTTGTTCCTGTAACACACATATTCACAGTATATAACACTGCCAGTACAATCGCTTGTACAAAAAAAACTTTGTCAAATACGCTTTAAACAATAACTAATGACTAAGTATCAAAGCTGCATAAATATGTTAAAAAGGAGCATTGACATTCTTATACTGTCTACAATGGAGTTTATAGTTGCTATGCACGCAAATAATGTTCTGCCATATTTAAAAAAGTTAATATTTCAAAATACGTCTCTGGTATAACTTGAATTCTTTCAACAAGTTAAAGCAGATACACGGGTATTAACACCTCTGGCGCAGTTGATAGCAATCCATTCGATTTACAATCGAGTGTCGCTTATTAAAAAAATAACAAATACGCTATGAATAATAACTAATGACTAAATATCATCGATGTAATAAATATTTTATGAAGGAACATTGACTTTCTTATACTGTCTACAATAGTTTTATGTTTGCTTGGCACGCAAATAATGTTCTATCTTATTATATAGTTAATATTTTAAAATCCGTCTCTAGTATTCAACCAGATACACGGGTAAATTGTATATATATTTATTACCATTTGCAAATATTTTAGTTTCAAATTCCTCAGTTGGTCTCTGTAAGTTATATTTGATTTATTTGATAAGTGAAATATTTCTTAACGATTGTATTTTTTTCATTTTAAGTCACTCTAAGTAAAATAGTTCCGATATGATTTCCTTTTATGTCTATTAGATAGTTCTTGAAAACAATGAAGTACTGAAAACGGAAATTTCGAATGATTTACGAGCGCATTGGCTGTTGTATTCATTCAACTCGTTTCAACCGATCTTTTTGTAACAGAATAACTGCGGAGATGCACAATTCTGTACAATTGCCACTGCAAGTATTAGTTCATTTTAAGCTAAAATATTGATAAAGTTTTATCGCAACAAACATTTCCGAATCACATGGTACATTTTATAGTTTACATAATGATACCAATAGTGTATTAGTTAGTAATCTTTTCAAGGTCTCTGTTCACTCCTATTATAAATCTAATGAAATAGATGAAGAACATCAAGAACATTGAATTTGCTACTTGGTCCAAAGGTTCTGTCAACGGCAATATTAGTGTTTGGAAATATGTGTGAATACTCTCACATTAAACTAAACTGATTCGTAAAGCACTGCTATGCTTGTTTCTTTAACATTATCTATGTACAGTATACATCTCACATCCTGAAAAAGTGTTCAATTTTAATTATACAAGTATTATAGGTTTATATTCATTTTTTTTTTGGTAACATAATGCTAAATTAAATAACAAACACAGCGTTTAATGGTTTCAAACTCGAATGAAATCAAATCTACATCGGTAAAGGGTTCTACAAATGATATTTACCTTGGCATTCAAACTTTATTGATTATTTGAAAGAGATAAACTTGTATTCTAGGATCTAATTGACTCATTTTTATTGTCATTTACAAAGTTTTACATAACATTTAAGCCTATTATAGCATTCGGCACGATATGGCCAGTTATGTGTTGACGTGCCGTAAAAATCAAAACAAACAAACAAAAAATCAAACTTTTTTTCTTAATTTGTTTGGCACAAAATTATGTTTGAATATAATTTAGTATTAGCATTGATTTCCTATCTTTTGAATAATTTAAGTTCTACAGAGAATAGAGAAGATGATAATGTACATTAATTAATTAACTCAGGGATGCCATATATTTTCATCGATTGGTCATAATGCTGGAATGGTTGTCGCAAACGTAATAATTCGTTCGACTATCAACAGTGATCAATGTTACAACAAATCCGCTATCATATAACAGTGACTTTCAAATATTGTTATTATTCAGCATGTATGACAATGTCCGACTGTTTAAAAAGATGAAAGAGCTTTGGAAAATGTTTGACACACGTTTGTATGTATATCCATATGCATACGCGTTATTGAAAACTGAAACGAAAAAAAACAAATCGGTTCAATTCATACATTTAAAATATGCCTTAATATAAATAGTGTCGTGAATTAACTTTCAGATTCATTAGACGCAAACTTTACTTTCTCACAATTGTTGGTATAGAGAAGGTCCAATTTTCTGCCGAGTATTCTGATACATTGAGACACATACGTGTCTTTAATATACTTTTAAAACATAATTATGGTATAATGGTGATGAAAACTTTTAATCTTTAAACAGGATGTTTTCTTATATTAAATGTTTAGCACACAAAATAAATCTCCTTTAACTTAATACCATTCAAGACTGACACCTAATGCATCTCCAGAGACAAATGTTTACAAATGTGGACCGGTAAATTCTTTGCATTATAAAACGAATTATCATGAAAAACATGGAATGATTTACGAGTATTTGGAATCTCCTATTAATTCAATTTATTTCGGAGATTGTTTTTTTTCCATCAAGAAGTCTTTCAAATTCTAGTCGTTAAAATTTCATACGCAACGTAAAAATTTATTTGTAAAATAAAGACATGTCATGGAACGTTTACATGATGTGCAGAATATTCTTAACGCTGTAATGTTGAAATGTACGAGATGTGCGTTGTTGAGTGAAACATCCCAATTTCGTTTTTATAATAAATTCTAACATTATCGGAGATTTTCCTTATATCAACAAAGAAGGTCTGAATCGTGATATATTTCACAATAGGTGCACTCGACTCTCCGTATTTGCAAACCGACACATTGACGTTAGTTTTACATGCTCTACCATCAATTTCCTTTCAGAGAACGAAAGGAGTATCTACCATTTTCTCCCATAAGTAAAGCTGGAAAGTCACCATTGGATCTTTGAAATGTCGGTGTAACTTAAAATCCGACAAAATTTGAGCGACACTATTGTGGTTTAAATAATTACATGTATGTCTTATTTGCATTAAGACTAAGATTTTTACAAAACAAAGAGGAAACAAAGAGGCAAAACAAAAACATGAATTAATGTCATTGAAAATTTATTTATGCATCAAAAGAAATAAATACAACACGAAAAGACAAGACAATGATCTGTCAGACACTGGAATACTCAGCTACATTGGATTTTTACAACATCACGTGGATATCTCGTGCGGTCATCCAAAACGTATTTTTAAAAAAGCTAAGCTACTTCCATTTCTAATAACTTCCACCTGCAATGTGAGAAGAAAAAACGATATACAGATGCATTTATTATTATATATAACAAATTTGAATACGAAAACCAAGACCAAGAAATATGTCAATAGTATTATTATGACGAACAGGTTTTCAATTCAGTTTTAGATTAGGTTTGTCGCTCTTGTTTAAAGTATCCGAAATACGATTGATTTGTAACTAAAATGGCACTAGAATATCTGTTATTCTCTGTCAATCAGTTGAAATAAGATAAACCTAAGTCTGACGAGATTTTTCAGTTTGTCAAAGACTTTAGTGTTATAAAACAAGATGTTAAATCATAGAAATATGTAACTTTTCCTATTTAAAATAAATTTTGAAGAGCGATGCACTGATCTTAAAATAGCCAATTTAGTAAATAATACAATCAAACAAAATATTTATTACGACAGAGTATTAATAAAATAGTATAAATGAATAGTACTTTTTCCTGATCGTCCCTTTGAGTTTGGCATACCACCTCCATTTGGCATACCGCCACCATTTGGCATACCGCCGCCATTTGGCATACCGCCACCATTTGGCATACCGCCGCCATTTGGCATACCGCCGCCATTTGGCATACCACCGCCATTACCGTCTAAAATATTGAATATTTTATAGATAAATAGGATTTGTTTTTCATTTTCAAAACAATGAACATTAAATGGCATCCTATGTTAACAGTTTTTCATATTTAATGTGATCCGGATGTAAAAACCTGACACTGAGAAATATATAGCTTTAAAAAGTACTCTACTTGTTCCATTTGAACTTCAGATGTCTAACAAAAGGCATATGATACGCAAAAAAGATAATATATAATAAACTAGTCCTAATACCATCTGAAAAACATAGATCTGACATCTGAAAGATTCGTAAAACTTACTTTGATAACAGTCTGGGCCATGGACGGCCATTCCTGGTACTGTTGGCATCTGAGGCATTCCAGGTTGTGTTGGCATTGTCGGCATTCCAGGTACAGTTGGCATGGTTCCTGTTCCACCAATAATTCGGTTGTTACCTGGACCGGAAACTGCATCAGGCATAAGTGGGACCATCATCATACCATTTCCAACTGAACAAATAAAACGTATTTTTAAATATCAAAAAGATAAAAACTCATAAAAACAAAAGATTTAAATCAAAATGGCTTCTATATTGTCATTTCATTTTGTTTATTGTTTTTAATGATCGAATTAAAATTATTATTGTTAAGATCCGCTTTTGATCGGTGTTGTTTATTATGTCTGAGAAATGACGATTATATTGGTGTATTGTTTTACCAAAGATATATAAAGTTAGATAATCATATACATTGCTATGGTATTTTAACTATTATCTATTACAACATTAGGTTAAAAAAGTTAAATATGAAAAACATGAATTATCGTCTGTTTCACAGACGCGCGCATACAAATCAACTTCCGTTCGTGGACTGGTGCCGATGATATTTACTCACCTCCATTACCGTTTCTCAGCATATCATCAAGTTTCATTTTTCCGCCACCTAAGCGATCATCAACAGTTCCCGCGTTCATATTGATAGCATTCATGTTGAATCCATTGTTGTTGTTGTTGTTATTTTGACCAAAACCATTGTTGTTGATACCGTTTTGACCGAAACCGTTGTTGTTGATACCGTTTTGACCGAAACCGTTGTTGTTGATACCATTTTGACCGAAACCGTTGCCACTATTGGTGTTGAAACCATTGTTATTGTTGGTGTTGAACCCGTTGTTGTTGTTTAATCCATTATTGTTGTTCAAACCATTGTTGTTGTTGCGATCATTGTTGCTGTTGAGTCCATTTATACCGAAACCGTTGACGTTCATGCTAACCATGTTCATGTTAGCAAGATTCTGGTCGGCGCTCATTCCCATCGTGTTGGCCCCTGCAGCGTTCATGTTATTAAGGTTGAGTGCAGCGTTCATGTTTGCAGCTTCCATTTGTGCAGCTGCTTTCATGGCGTTCATAGTTGCGGCATCCATGTTTGCTGCGTTCATTATGGAGTTCATGTTTGCATTGTTCATGTTACCGGCATTCATGTTGGCAGCATTTGTGTTTGCAGCGTTTATCGCAGCGTTCATGTTGGCAGCGTTCAATGCAGCATTCATGTTAGCAGCGTTCATTGCAGCGTTCATGTTTGCAGCTTCCATTCTTGCTGCTGCTTTCATTGCGTTCATCGTACCAGCATCCATATTTACTGCATTGGTACCAGCGTTCATGTTGGCATTGTTCATGTTGGCAGCGTTCATGTTGACAGCATTCATGTTAGCGGCATTTATTGCTGCATTCATATTAGCGGCCTCCATTTGAGCAACAGCCATTGCGTTCATAGCACCGGCATTCATGTTGTCAGTATTCAACCCGTTGTTCATGTTGATTCCATTCATGTTTGCAGCGTTAATGGCAGCGTTCATGTTTGCAGTATTAATAGCTTCGTTCATGTTAGCTGTGTTCATTGCAGCGTTCATGTTGGCGGCTTCAATCTTAGCAGCGGCTTTCATGGCATTCATTGCACCAGTGTTAGTGTTAGCTGCACCACCGCTTCCCATCATAGCGTTCATCATATTTATGTCAAATCCATTGTTGTTGTTGTTGTTGTTATTTTGTCCCATTGGAATGATGTCTACCAGCCCATTTCCCATGTTGACTAGGTTTCCGTTCATTCCATTACCGTTGGAAACCATCATATTAGCTGCGTTGTTAGCATTGTTCATGACCATCATTGGATAATATGGAACCATGCCTATGAAAATAACAAACAAAAAAATAGTTTGCAAATTTAATAGCACAATACGTGAAAATATGCCACATGATATGGTTTTGTCATTGTACGAATCAAACTGTATGAATTCATCAGTTCATGCTATAATTATTTTACAAACGCCATTTCAACTAGAGTTCTAACAATTGGAAAAATCGATGTCTGTTTTAAATAAGGCACGCATTTCCGTGCAAATCTTTTAACATTATTTTTCAACAAAACAAAATCTCGAGCATGTTCTTTCTATCTTGAAATAACAGAATTAAAAACGAATCAGTGCTAGGCCAACTTTAGGCTTAGTAACATAGGTTTGTACTTACCGGAACCACCCATAAAGCCATTGTTGTTATTGTTGTTGTTGTTGCTAGCAGCTGCGGCAGCGGCAATTCTTGCAGCTTTATTTGCTCTATTTACTCTCTCCGTGGCATCATCCACTGGTTCTGTGGGGCTTGAAAAGAAAAATGTACATACAATATAGATAACAACCTTCGTTACAAGGTTAAGCAACAGCGAGACTGCAAACACAAACAAGTCAACGTAAACCTCTTAGATTTAAAAAGGAGCGTACATATGGTTTTTTAAAATGCTTACATTTCAATCCAGTTATGTTATCATAGGTTTGAGCCTTATGCAATTTAAATATTTTTCCTCATGTGAAGCCTGAATGGTTCTGTTGTTAGTCAATAATGATTTTGATCAACACTGGCCGTTTCCGACGCTTCTAGACATAAAAGAGAGCAGCAATGCTTAGCGGGGCTAAAAGCAGCAAAAATATATTTAAACTTAAATTAAATGTGTTTGTCTTATTCGAAACTGATATTATCACAAATTCCGTCAGAAAAGTCAAAATTTACAATAGGTTCCTGCGGAGATAAATATTACACAAAATAGAATCCTTAATATTCAGTCTGAGATGTCTATACTTAAAATGAGAAGCTATATCAATGCAATGTTGACCTACAGAAAATCTACAGCTCGACTGAATTGCTGGTTTCTTTCCATTAGTGAAGTTCTAAAATGTCGTGTTTTTGGCGCATTTTAGATGATTCTTTGGCAGTTTAGGATGGTATAATATAATGAGAAAAAAATGGTATGAGACAGAGATTTTATACTTCTAATGCATCATTTTGTTTCTTTCCCTATTTATTTCTACAAATTGGATTCCGATAGAGATATATATTCCAATATTTCATAGAGAATACTAAACATTTTAATAGAGTTGTAGCAAAATATTTTAAGAAAATAAGACACCTTCCTACTTTAAATTTCTTCAACTCTTATTCTTGCATAATAAATTCTACGCCTTAAAGTATGCGACTGATTGAGTCATTTTCTCTAAAGACATAAATGGAATTTTATTATTTGTACGGTAGTATTTCTATTGCAATGAAATAGTTCTTCTGACATTGAAAGTCAGTACAATGGATAACCTCCGATTATTTTACATTACGCGATGTAAGACCTTTGACAGTTAAATAAATATGACTAACCATTTCTTGTAACTTCTTACAAGAATACTTTGTTATATCTTTAGAACGCTATTCGATTAAAAGATTAATGAAGGCTATTTATGGAGTTTTTATTCCGTCTTTTAGATTTGTGTTAAACGTATTAAACAGATATACCCATGTGTAATATTTGGAAAAGTTCATTTAATTAAACAATCAAACAATACATACAGTCGTGTTTGTTCTGGACATCGATTTAAGATTTTAAAAATTTGGAGAAAAAAACAATGTTAAGCAGTTAAAGGGCGTTTTTGTTTTTCTTTAACGAATTTTGAAATATTCACCTTACGCCACCAGCCGGGCCTCTATTGTTAGCACCATTGTTAGCAGCGTTCTGATTGGCTGCGCCATTCCCAGAGTTCATTGCCACGTTCATAGCCGCCATGAGACCTAAAATCAATTTGAAAACCAAAACATCTCGTCAGCGAAAGGTTTTATAGCTTCCTTTTAAATTATTTTTATTCAACACTCTCTCTTGATGAAAATAATTACTATGACGAATCACACGTCATGTAATTGATTATGAGGAATTTTAAAAGGAAGTGCTAAATAAATCAAATGGAAAAAAAAACAACTAATAGTTGGAAGTTTTGTCTTATGATGGGTTTTATCATGATTATCGGAAATAAACATAATCAATCAAATAACGTGCATTTTCTGTCTTTGACTTTTTTTATTTCATTTCAGTGTTTTGCAAGAACTTCTTTTACATCATCGTTTTTTGGTAACAATTTATATGCATCAATGGACAAACTAGAAAATCATCAGTGTCAGTTCCATAAATAGACCTTGTATTTGGGTTGAATAAAAAAGAGATGTTCTTTCATTTCAAATACAGAAATGTTCAATAGCAATATAAGTTGTTAAAAACGCATTTGAGCCGTGTCACGACAAAACCAACATAATGGGTTAGCGACCAGCATGGATCCAGACCAGCCTGCGCATCCGCGCAGTCCGATCAGGATCCATGCTGTTCGCTTACCAACCCTATTACAAGTAGAGTAACTGAAAGCGAACAGCATGGATCCTGATCAGACTGCGCGGATGCGCAGGCTGGTCTGGATCCATGCTGGTCGCAAACCCATTATGTTGGTTTTGTCGTGACGCGGCTCATTTGTTTATCTACAACAACAAAAGCGTTGGAAAAGAACAGCTATAAGGAAATTTGAAAGGTTTTATGACCCGGTGTATGCAGTTTGTAAACTTATATAACCAGAGCATGTAAGCGATGGTTATATGGCAAACACCTGTTTATGGCCTGTCAAATGCATTTATCAATTTATGGTACTGAAGAATTACTTCCTTTGCTTGTAACAATTTAAGAAAGCATTAAACATTACTTTGCAGCAGTCATGTATAAAGACAAATATAAACGTAAAGATTATCGAATAAAAGATCGAAGTTACAAATGTGTTATAATGATAACACCAATGATACAGGAGTATAGAAAATACAGATATTTGGAAAAAAAACATTTTGTATTATATTGATAAAGCTACGAATTACCAGCGTAAAACACATTTTATACTAATGTTTTTGTACTTTTTTAAATGCAAGATATAATACATGTGTGTATTTTACTTTTTACACACTGCTAATACTATAAAAAGAACTACCAAAACATTTATATGATAGAATAACGTAACTTTAGTCGTTTTACATGTAATCATAAAGAACAGACGGAATGCATTTCCTTAAACTTTGCTTTCCATTAACTTTAAGCAAAACGTCAAAGTTTCATCTTAGTAGTTGGTTTTAGTGTTGACCATTATGTTCCATATTTATCAAACAGCGAAAATACTTTGTTCTTTATATTTTATGTAACGTTATTAGTTAGAACGATGTTTTACGCCATTGTTCATTAGAAATGTAAATATTTTTTACAAAGTCTCAATGTATATTTAATAAACACGTCGATTCTTTTTGACATGTCATTTATGTTGAAATTAATAAAAAAATAAACATTTACTTTTTCAACGTTTACTGAACATAATTATGCAACTGACTTTAAGCAGAAGTTTATAAGCGTTCCGTATAGATATTTATATTTTTGTACTTTTATACCGAGAAAAACATTAAAGGTTTATACAAAATAATAATGTTCAAAAGATATGTATTATAATTGAAGAATCCACTTACCATTATTATTAGAAGCGCCAAGACCAGCAGAGCTATAAGCCATAGGCAGAGCCAAGGAGCGAAGGGAGAAAACTCCGAGCAGCAACACGGGAAATGTCCACATAATTGTCGTTCCTGAAAGAATTAATTGTGGCCTTAAAATGACTTTTTTTACGTAAAACCGAATGTTTAAGACGTAACTTTATTCTTGCGTTATAGAAATAAAATCGGTTAGATCTAACAAGTGTTTGAAAAAGGTAGCAAAATGTTGTGTTTCGTTTTGCTTCTGATCAAAGACTTATAAAATTTAATTGTTCTTCGCCTACTTCTAACAAATATGACAAAATAGGCTTTAGGTTGAAAACATTAAGTGTGATCAAAATAAATTTGTTGAAAATTTCTTCCAAGTAAAGCGTAAACAAAGAAAATTTGTAAATTTTGAGTTAGATTATCATATCTGATTTAAACTAACTTTCTTAGATAGAAAATCGGAAAATTAAACAAAACAATTTAGCTTTGACACATACCTTTCTCGGATAATCTCCCTAGAAAATAAAAAGATAGATTTGAAATGAACTGAACCGAACGAAAATACCTTCACTGAAGACAACCTGCAAAGCCCGCCCCTTATATACCACGCGTTCGGGAAACGCGCAACGTTCTTACGTCACATTGTTTCACGCGACCAAAAAAATATATCGCAAAAAATATAAAGAGAGAAAAAACACACAAATCATCATATCCAGTCGTAATAAGATTCGCTTTTAACAAACTTATTGTCATAATTAACCAAGTTAGTATTAAAATTCATGTTCAATCTAACATCAAAGGTGTCCGATCATTTGTTGTTCAGACTTACAAGATATAAATTACAAGTTGATGCACCGGATATGAATAAGTCGATGTATAAAATGATGCATTCTGTGAAACTTTAATTGCTTCCGCGACAGGTATTACAAGCAAATTAATTGTTTGATATTAATTTTATATGATAGAATCGTTGTTTAATACTTAAAGTGATTATTCGTGTGGTCATGATGTGTCTTGATTACTGGCCACTAGGACACGCTGTCTTTCTCTAACACTTAAATGTTGAGTCATGTGCATGCGGTTTCATCAGTTTAGCCAAAGAGTAAATCGTGTGTCTTGTGAATGAAATCATTCAAAAACTATTCAACTTTGTGTTTCTTTATAAATTAATGTAAATGATGCAATGGGAAAATAGTTTGTCATTCATGTATTAAAGATACAATTTGAACTCATTTTGAGACATTCATCATCATCACCACCATCATTATCATCATCATCATCACCATCATCATCATCATCATTTTCATTATTATTATTATCATCTTCATCATAAACAACGGTCACAGTGATGACATAATTATCATTGATTACAGCCTTATAATATCGACCATCATCATTAACATCATTGCCATCATCATCTTCTTCTTCTTCATAATTATCATCATCATTTTCATTATCCTTGCTTTCAACATCTAAAGGGCCCATGAAGCCTCATTTTTGTATTCTTATTTTGTTAAAAGGCTTTTTATTTTCGGTGTACTGTTAAGGTTTCCAAAAGGTTACTTGTTAGCATTATAATTATTATAAAAAAATAATCATACTAAATTTAATGCTTTTATGCATTTTCAGAAACTTTTCTTTTTCGATTTAGTGATATCAAAACCGTAATTAGTTGATTATCCTAAATGTTAACCATAACTATGTAATTATTAAACAGTGAATTAAAAGATGTTAATATACTTTGTTATATTATCATTATTATTATAATTATTATTATATGCTTTATCAGTTAGAATAGTATTTTTACGTCCTTGTTCATTAGACATGTAAATATCTCATTCATTTTACATGTTTTAAATACTCTGTTATCGCAAATGTTCCAAAAATATCGTATCTTTTATCATATCAATCAAAAGGGACCATCATGGTTGAAGTAATTATGTATTTTTGTATAACCAATCAATGCAAAAACTGGTGAGAACTTTTTGTAGGATGTGTAAGCGTGTTTTGTTGTGTTTTTTTAACATAATATAAGATAGCATAGCCGAGGACCGTGGAAGAGTTATTTTATATTATTAAAAATCAAGTGTAGACATCATAGTTTATCCGTCGTAGTGACTCCTGGAATGCTTTTATTATTATTTCTCAATTGTTGCATCCACAAAAAGGCAGGATGTGTTTTCCTATACCTTAGTCTACATAAGACAGGTGACTCCCGGGGAAGCGCCAATTTTGAGCGGAGGGTCTTGATTAATATAGCTTTTGTAGCATGCCAAATATCTTAGCTCTTAGTATTGTAGTTTCACAAAATAAGACTTTTTCTGGAAGACAAAATACTGCAATATACAAAACGCTACTTTTTTCGGGTGTTAAGAATCTATCATGTAGTAGTAGCAGTAGTAGTAGTAATAATATACTGATAAAATATACTAGTATAAAGTAATGACTGAATAGCGAAAAGTGTCGACCATCATCAAATGGCACTCTGACGTTCTGACTGATAATGGTCTACACTTGTGGCAATGCCGCCAATGACCTAATGGTTCAAATGACATGCATGCTAGTAGAACAATGCGGTATATACACTATCCGGAAGACATTCTCTTGACTAGGCGTCGGGCTCTTCCGACTGGATTTGTAGAAGCATACCACGTACAAAACCTTTTTTTTCACTCATGATTCATAATTCTGTAAAGAAAAAGAAATGTAACATTGAGGGTCTGTTTGAATAAACGCTTGTCAGTTTACCATGGTGATAGGGCAGATTGAAATAATTACATTTTGTTCTTTTGTCACGTTTTGTTATATGCAGAAAAATTACATATGTAATGCGCATGTTTGGCTGTACTTTAAGATGTCATTATGTTAAAAATATGTCCGAACAACGATAATCTTTGTTAAGTTCTATTCATGCACAAAAAATGAGTCAAGTATGAACAAAATAACAGCATTTTTGTTGCATATTCATATTTGACATTTAAGAATGAGATCCCGCCTATTTCATTAAAGACCTACATCGTCCATTTAAACTACATAAACTACATAAAACCTTCGAGTGAAACGTTCCGAATGACTTAAATGAAATGTATGTATTTAAAAATTAAAAATATGAAGTTATTCAACAGAAAATCTCAAAAGAAGTAGACATTCATTTATTTCTAAATCATACAGTTTAGTTAATAGACACATTTGAAAATAATTTGGCCAAGGTTGAGCTGTAAGAACAAAACTGAAACGTCGCTTCCATTTATTTTATTTTATTAATTGTTAATGTAAGCATAAGACCTTTACATACATTGTCAAGCTTCAATGTCTAAGAAAAATGTAAACATAACAAAAAAATCAGAACAACAAAAAACATGTGTTAATATTATAAAATTATGTAAACAACGCTTCAGGGTAGAAAATTCTTTGTTTAGTTTCTCTAAATGTCAAGAAACAAAATCTGTTGACACATGAATTTAGAGAGAACAGTTTTCGTAGGTGAAGTTATTTCGTTATACTCGTATCCACTTTCGTGCTCCACTTAAAGAGCCTTATGATCAGGTGAGCTGTAACTGAACGCCCCTGTCCTTTCAGTCAAACTTTGTATTAACTCCATTTATTGGCATTATTTATGCACCATGAAGACGGCTAATCAGTCGAAACGTTGGTATATTCAATGGGATTTTTAAAATTTGCATGTGACTTCTTATTTTTTTACTATTTATTAACTCCGAGATAATTATGAGTAATCGGTGAGGTGCTCCGAATGATGGTACCATTCACCGCCTTGCTAATTTTATAACAACTTTGTACCGATATTGTCTGGGACAAGTGAAACAATCATTTCTGTAACTTCCAACTTCTCTTAATAAATTATTTTATAAGATTCTGGAGGAAACAAAACACAGAATTTTCAGTCAAGCGGTTAAACTGTGAAACGAGGCGGGAATGGTATGTAAATATAATCTACAAATTTTCACGTGTTTAAAAATCTGGATAAAGTGTGATCCCTTGAACAAATCACAACAAAAATTACATGAAAATTGCAGACTCGGTTTGCCTACTTCTGTTTTAGACATTGGTCATTTTGTCCAATTGATCAAATCAATCATAAGCAACTTTTTACAGTACCACTTAAGTTCTTGTTAACCCTCAAGCTGCCGAGACCAAAAGAGATTAGCATTTTCTATGGACAGCCTGCGCGTCACCGCGGTCTGACAAAACCCTATATTGTAAGTAAATCCATGACATATACAGATGTATTTACTAGAAGCAGGTTAGATGTTATCATAATATTGCAGCTGTTCAGGAGAGGTAATTTAACGCATTTGTAATTGCCATCTTTATCAATGGACTTATTGGCTTTCAGGTATCAATTTTTATTCAGTTCCACCAAAGAATTGTTTTCCAGTAAAGATGCATCAAAATATTTTCTGAAATTACGGAGATATCTTATTGACCGTTTGATCTTGCAGTCATCTTGAATTAGAGTCACGATTCTTCAGTTTTACCACGTTTGGACAAATCTCGGTGGTCGGTCCACATAATCGGCTTTCCTGGATAACCAACAAGTAAATACCATTTTCGGCAAGTGACCTACATCTAATCACATAATGAGCCGTGTCACGACAAAACCAACATAATGGGTTTGCGACCAGCATGGATCCAGACCAGCCTGCGCATCCGCGCAGTCTGATCAGGATCCATGCTGTTCGCTATCAGTTTCTCTACTTGTAATAGAGTTGGTAAGCGAACAGCATGGATCCTGATCAGACTGCACGGATGTGCAGGCTGGTCTGGATCCATGCTGGTCGCAGACGTACTATGTTGGTTTTGTCGTGACAAGGCTCATATAGTTTCCGAATCAGCGGTAAGAAAAATGGCCAATTTACTCGTCACACGCCAGTAGTTTGAAGCAGCATTCCCTGACTAACAAATCCGATCCTCTACTGAGCTAAGCGGACAGACAGTAACTGAATGAGGTCTGTCGACTTGAAATTATATATTAAGAGCACCGTAAGGGCGGGGCAATATACGCCCGAATGTATATTTGTTTGAGAAATAAAAAAAATAATCTTTTAATTAGGATAAAGACCCAATCAAGAAACGTGTGTGATCTTTATAATACTGTATGACCTCTAAGGTGGAGGCATATTTCACTTCAAGTGTATGAATCATAAAACTTTTATAGAGGCCTACTGTATGCCAAATATAGAGGCATATTTTTTATCCACAAAAAAGAGAAGATGTGTTTTCCCATAACTTAGTATATAGCAAATGACTCCCGGATCAGAGCAAATTTTGACCGGAGGGTCATGATTATTATAACTTTTGTAGAAATCTACAAATTGATGCGTCATGCCAAATATCTAAGCTCTGGACCAACAAGACTAAATGTTTATATAAATCAAGTGACCCAGGGGCCAGGTCAATATTTACCCCCCCCCCACCCCTCCCAATTATGATTAATATCAATTTTGCAGAGGTTGTCTCAGCTCAGTAGTTTCACAAGACTGATATATGTTTTGTTATTCATGACTGAGTGACCTAGGGCATTACTACATGTCAAATTTCATAATCCCTAGGCATTGTAGTTTCACCATAAGACTTAAAAATACAAAACTTTATGAAATAAGTGACCCCAGGGGCGGGCCAGTATTGACCCAAGGGGCATGATAAATATTATATGTACAAATATCTGTATATATCAAGTGGCTCCTGCTTCAGGGCCAATATTGAACCATCGGCATGATTCATATCAGATTTGTAAGGTCAAAAGGCAACGCTATATGCTAAATATCTAAGCTCTAGACATTGTAGTTTCACGCTATTAAACTTTATTGTGTTTTCCTATATAAGTCTATATAAATCAAGTAATCCTCAGGGAAGGGCCAATTTTGATCTCAAGAAGCCAAAACCTGTGTTCTGCACATGGCCTCATTATAAGTAATATTTCAGCCAAAAAGTGTCGGAATATTATAAGTAATATTTTTCTGACAGTTTTAATTTTTTTGATACAGGGCGGACACAAAATTTTGAAATTGTGCGACCTTGATCTGAGAAAGGTCAAAAATGAGATCTGCACATCGTCTCATTATGGTTAACTTTTCTCCCAAGTAGTTTAAATTTCCTTCCACTGGTTCAAAAAATACAGACTGGACACGAAACCTGCCTAAAGACCAGCAGACAACCAGGTGCATAACATTATACACTGAAATTGTTAGGGTATAAAAACAAAATCTCACAAAACAAAGAGTACAGTTTTAAAGTTTTATTATCTATTGTTTACAAAGAATATTTTACAATGAATATTCACTTCCGCGAAAGTAACCAAACAAAATGCAATAAATAAATAAACAGCATCACTTCAAAACTTTTTCAACAGAATCATAATGCTTTACTTACTCTACTGAATGCAGTTAATATAAATTGTTATGACAAAGTAATCTGTAATCTGTCAACTTGTGAACAAAAAGGGACTTTTTAACATGGACAAAAACGCAGGTGCTGGTATTTTATAAAGCAAAAAAAAATCTAACATTATTTTATAAGCATATTCTCAATTTAAACATAGTATATCTATTTCTTTACTTATTGCAATTCCATTTAAATAATTAATATTTATCTGAACTTTAATTGGAATAGAGTATCAATTTTAACTAATTTTCAACATTTTGAACATGTTTCTTAATTAACTTGATAAAATTCAAATGAATTTTGATTATTACTTTCTATTCTTTTTTGCAATAAAATTTTGATTGATACAACATCATTATGTAACGTTTATTGCAATAACATTCTTTAAATACTTTTGAATGTATTTGTTTCTTTAATTATATTGCAATAACATTTGATTGTGTGTAATTCTTTCTATATTATCATTACAATAACGTTGTTGCTTTTCTTTCTCTTAACTTTGGTTATGGAAAAAACACCTTTTATCTCCAACTTTGTATAACAAATTCAATCTTCATTAACTTACTAATTCATCTATTAGTTACTATTTCCACTACCACATCTTTATAATACATTGTACTAAAATAACCGCTCTCAAATAATTATCTTACATACTACATTTTCTTTGCTAACTGCCACAGCTGTTAAAATATATAAATAAAAATACAGGTAAAAAAAACAATTATGATACAGTAAGACAAGATACATGTACACAATGAAATATATTAAATTTTCTTTTATAAAAAAGAAGAAGAACATTTATCTTTTGATGTTTAATTATATAAACAGCATTAATGTGGACCACAGAAACATTAAAAGAGATGTTTTTTGGAAGTAAAAATTAAATTCCATGTGACATGAACTTTTTCTGAAAGAAGGCACAAAAACATTTAAGAAGCATTTGACTTTTGACACAAAAGGTTAGGTAACTACGGTTTAACAAAATCTTAATAATTACATAAGTTGCTTCCCTTTGAAGATAGATACTAATGATGCTTTACTGGGTAAAAATACACAAAAAATCATATTTTTACATCAATAAAACAGGCTATGAACATGTCTACATCTGTTTACCATACAACAATGTAGGAATTACCAAAATAGAAACGGAAAAGGTAAAGAAAAATATACTGCTTTTTGATGATAATTAAAAATAAAACATTTGCACTGTTTAAAATAAATTTAAAATCAAATATATGTAGATGTTATATTTAAACTATTTGTAATCAATGTTTTATAAGACAAAGAAATACTCTCTGGAAAAAAATCAGAAATAATTAAAAATGATTTTTCTTCTTCTAGACAATAACAAGAGAAAAATTTGGACAACTAAGAATAGATAAATGTTGTAGAATAAAAATTGGGAGTATTTTTGTTCCTATGTTGTCTATGTTTTAAGGCACAAAACAGCAGTAGTGTTCACTTAATGTCTTAAATAAATATTTACTGTTTGATCTAAATAAATTTTCCTAAACTAAGCTGCAATCTGATTGAGGTAACTAATTTTGATAGTGAATCCTGAAAATGTGCAAAGAAACAGTTCAAGGTGCACGAGGCATGTTTAAATCAGTGAATATGGAACTATATACTACACTTAAGCAATTTAAGAAAACAATGACAAATAAACTTTGAAACAGACTTTAATGCTGGAAATAGTTTAAAAATGATAAAACACAATAAGGAAAAGTATATACCCAAGCAATTTGGTTTTACGAAGTTTGATTCTTAAAAGACGTTCACACTGCAGCGTTTTGAAAGTACATCCTGGTAACTTTTTGTGCACACAGATCAACATGTGTTAAAATCAATTCAGTACTCAAGATGATTTTTTTTTAAAAGGTATAAAGTTTGACAACAAGCTTTGTTTCTTAGTCTCATAACTTTATAATTGTGTACCATACATAATTAAGTTTTCTCAGATTATACTATGGATAAATAATATAAATTGTGAAAGTATTTTTAGAAAATGCACGCATTATCTAGAGGTTCAGGATTGTCAGTGTATCAAACTAACTAAATTACTAACTACAACATGTTCTTAAATACTCCAAAACCATCTCACACTTTGTGGGCATTTCTTCTTTTTCTGTCATTTTAAAATTTTACTGTTTCTATGCAAAAGTTCTTTTCAATATGCCCAAAAGATTCACTTATTTTTAAATGCATAAAATGTAAATATACAAAGAAAATGTTTCTAACTGCGCTTATTTGAGTATACAAATTCCAAAGTTGGTAAATTCATTTATTCATAAACACTACATTTTGGTCGCAGCTATAAAAGTTCATGCCCACAAAAGTTATGATTCCACAGTGCTTAACAAACATAAAGTACGTAAAGAATGTAAAGAAAAGACACTAGTTACACATCAAATGCACCCTTTCATTATAAAAACATTTGTCCATTATTTAATCAACAATTTAGCAAAACATAAATGCAGTTTCAAGGCCTTACCTTTTGGTAAAGTTGTCACAAGAGGAAAAATAACAAACAAAAAAACCTTAAAAAGTGCTGGAAACAATTGTTTAACTGACCTTGCAAAGGTATATAATAGAAGAACATGTAGGCCAAGCCAGCTTGATTCTCCAGGCAGTCTGTTCTGTTAATATGCTAAAAAGCTTTCTATGTTTAGATCCCCCAAGAATTCATGTTAAAATTTTAAGTTAGTTACTTTATTGAACAGCTAACAAATTTTCTTTTATGTTAATACTTTATACATAAAACATTCAAAAATAACAGTCAAACATTGTATCTGTACTTATTTGCCCAATGGTGCTATGTATGTACAAAGTACAGTGTAACATCTGCATAGCAGCCATCTGGAGGGCTATTACCTCTGTATAGCAATCACCTCTTTATAACAATAGTTTCAATTCTTCCCAAAAGGAAGACTTTAAAAACAAATTTAACCTCTTTAGAGCAAAAAACCTCTAAACAAAAGCTCAGAGAGCTTTGTCGACCCTAAAAAGGGTGAAGCTCTTAAGAAGTTGTACCGTAGTTACAAAGCAAATTAAGCATAACATGATAAAAAGCAAAAACAACACAAGTCATGAAAGATTTGTGTAAATAAAAAAGAATGAAAATCATATTAAAGAACACAACAGTATAAATAACACTTGCTGCCATTTTTACATGATCAATCTTGTTCAATTTTAATATTACATATACAATTGTTTTTTTAATTATGTGTACAAGAAAAAAGGTGATTTGTATCAAATAAAAACAAGTTTTTAACCAAATACAAAGTCAACAAATTTTATAAAACCACATCTTTACTCACTTTGAAGACAAAAATAATGATACTAGACTTATTGCAGGGTTTTTTACTTGCAGAAAAAAAAAGAGTGGAGAAAAAAAAAGAGTGGAGTATCAACTTTGTTTGGGTGACAGTTTAAATATATAATTTCATGTATAAAAATACACAGTCAGAATGAACCTTAAAAAGACCATATAAAATAAGATGAAACTAAATACCCTTTAAGTAGCCTGTGTCTAAAGGTCTTCACTCCAAGAAAAAAGGGCTAAAAAGCTTTACTGTCAGAAAATCAAAAAGAAAATAGCTGACGTCAACAAATTGGTATATAGGGTCAAAGGTCAACTATCAAGGTCTGACTATAATGTTGATAAAGTTACTGATTAGAGAGTGTATATTATATAAAACATTGTACTATAATCATAACCATCATAACCTGTTTCTTATACCCAGCCTAGTATAAGAACAAAGAATTCTATTTACACTAAAAACATCTATGAAATAATTGCATTGACTAACAGCGGAAATGAGGTATTTCAAGAAAAAGACATGTCAAGGAACACTGTGTAATAAAAATAATTTCAATTTCATTATGCGTGAGTCAATCTACATGGATATTCTATTCCTACAGCATAAAAAGTGCAAACCTAAAATCAAAGGTATGGCCTTTTCTTCTCACTAACAGTTTTAAATTTTTGGGACCATTACGGATACTCTATCATGCTGCTTCAAATTTTTATTTGGACAGATTAACAATTATAATACTATTAGTAAAGTGTTTTTGGATAAATGTCTATATATGATATAATGCTTATAAATACATCACAACTTACACATTTTTTTCTTTCTTACAAAAGTTGGTACTCTTTATAAAACAAATCCTTTACAAAATTTATTCAATAAACAAAAAAAAAGACCCAGAATAATGGGAAAAAATCATGGAACCAAAGAAGCTATCTGGGCTATAATTAGTAACAAAATTGCAAAATAAATGTCAAAATTACTCATAAATATCGATACACTATAAAAAAAGAATCCTTTCTAATAAAGGGAATTTAAAATTATTTTTGACATATTACAACAGTTCATGTCTCTATGGTTGACATATGTGTACAATATTTATGTACAAGTAAATATATGAGCATAGTTGGACAGTAAAATGTGTAAGACAACACGTGTACATGATAGTATATATGTAAGGTATAAAAAAAACGTTTATTCATATTGTAAAAATCTCATGCTTTGATAATCAATAATAATGAAGTATACTCTATTTATATAAACACACAACACCTGATTTCAGTTGAGCTATTTCTCACATTTTAACTTTTTACCCCTGTATTTCGATAATGGTTTTTCCCAAATTCTCTTGATATAACTATGTAGTGGACCTATTTCATTATATAAAATTAGGGTGTTCAGGTTAGTTGTTTTTCCCCTAAATCCTAAATGGTTTTAATCTTGTCACATCATGCTGGAATATTCTATTTCACTACATTAGGGAGGTCAAGATGGCTAATGATGCAATCAATGGGCGACATGCTTGTTCCCACTATCTTCTGCACTTAAAAGATTTGTAGGTCTGTGATTTTTGAGTCTATGTTAACATATGAGAAATATCTGAAGGTCGAAGTTCACCAAGTGACCCTGATTGCTGTTTCTTCAAAAACTGTTTTCAAGGTGACTGTGTGACCTTGACATTAACTTGTCTACGAGGAAGTGGCTCCGGGTACCTTTGTCAACACCTGAAATTGAATCAAAAGTGCATGTTTATATTATATATAGCACAACAGCTCATCTTAGTTACTATCTATAGCAACTTAACATAATTTTTACCTGTTTCACTGGAATCAAAGTGAATGAATCTTTAATACCAGTCTAATATTCCAATTTCTTAAAACTTAGATGCAAATGCATTTAGAAATCTTTTTAAAAAGACAGAAGGCATTGAACATAAAGTTGATAAAGTTGTGACGCTCTTACATTAATCTTGTGTGTAAAAAAGGAATATGTCCTGGTTGTATATTACATTTAAAAAAGGAGACATCATGTGATGAATATTGTTTTTTCATCATTAAACATTTTGTACTTTGCTCAGAACAGAAACTTAAAGCCAACATTTTAAGACCTAACACTTGCTCTTCTGAGAGAACTTACCTTGGAGAGGTCTACCCCAGTAAGAGCCTGGACTGCTGGGGGTAACTGGCTGATAAGCCTGCTGACTTCTGAAGTTGTTCTATCATCTCCGATCAGGACAATCTCATCTGTGCGTGACAGAGGAGCCGAAACTTCAGCAGCAATCTAAAAATAGAAACATTTCTTTAGTTTTTCTTTAATAACGAACAGTTAAATAAAGCATGACTTATAAGATAAGATTACTTGCATTTATTACCAATAAATTGAATAAGTTATATTAATTTCCTTATTTGAGAGAAATGACAGATGTTTCCTGTGATTCTCGCATCTATTTGATAATTTGTATTTGTAACCTATAATAGAATAAGATACATATATATTTTTACATGAGAAGAATGACACGCATTTCCTGTAATTGTCTGACCTGACTAATGCTCTTCATAACATCCACTGATATGTCTCAGTCAACAATTAGAAACAATATATTCAAGACCTGCGGATGCTTTAAGTTTTAACCGAGTTAATCATACTTCAATACCCCACAAGTTCAGCTCCATGATTTTATTTTAGATATATTTCAGATATATGATCTTAAGTATAGGTTAGTGTTTGTTATTCAGCATTAATGAAATTAAATCTGTCAAGAACTGCAAGGCCACACAATAAGTTAATCGGAAGTAATGCTGGCTCGATAAACACTAACCTACTTAGTGGTTGAAATTATGCTTTGAATCTTTGCACCAAAAGTGTGTGTTATGCTGATATAACAGGATAGTATTTAATAACAATTTAGTACCAATTAAATTCATTTAGATACCAAAGAATTTGAGAACAATGGAACCATTTGATTGGACAAAACATAATTTTAACCACTTATTCCCTTTCAATGAATCTTTAACTATAGGAGAAAGTTAAGTGACAAAGAATCAGTAAGGGATATGTCATTTTATAAACAACTGAACCATCAGTCATCATATATCAGTTCATTTGCAAGCATGTGCGGTATTGGTGACCTATATGAACCCAAATTTCTCTAAATCTGCAAAACATAAAGTAAGCTCACCTTGGGTAATGTTTCAAGGACCAAACTGAGCATAGCAGCGTCTCCGTATTGCTTGTAGGCTGAGGCTTTCAGTCTCATTCTTTCAGCCTCAGCTTTGCCGACAGCCTCGATAGATGTGGCCTCAGCACCTCCGATCAACCGAATCTTTTCAGCCTCAGCTCTGGCAACCTCCACTGTCTGCGTTCTAAAACATGAAAGATTTTCATTCATTATTAATAAATTTTTCAAAACTGTGATTTCAAAATATTTTGTATAATTTGTTCAATGAAAACATATGCTTTTCTTTAGCTTTTTACATTTAGTCTTCTTCAGAGAAAAAAATTGATGTTTTTTTGTTGTTGTTTTTTTTAAATGAATTTGATAATACAAAACAACATTTTAAATTCATCAATCAATTTGTCCAACAGTATGTTTAAATATTTAACAGCTTCACCTGTTTTACGCTTACTTCACATACTTATTTTTTAGAGCACATAATTTAACTTTAAGAGATGAGAAAATCAGGAATTTTTTAAAGCTTTTTCACACCACATCAAAACAATTTTTCCTATATACAAAATCTGTAAATAAATAACGAAAGTTATCTAACCTTTGACCTTCGGCAATAGTCTCGACCTTGTAAGCCTGAGCTTCAGCTGGACGTTTCACTGTGGAGATAAGTTCCTTCTCTTTCCTGAGAATTTCCTTCTCTTCAATGTCGATCAACTTCTTACGTTCTACAACATCAATCTCGATCTCTTCTGCTCGTATCTTCTGTCGTTCCTTCGCACTCTGCAGCTCATATGCTAGCCGTGATTCTGCTCTCTGTTCAAAATAGAAACCATTAATAAAACAGAATATAACTCGTATATAAATCAGTGTTTTACCATCCTTTACGAAGGACAATGTTCATTGAAAAGGGAATTTTTTAGTCAAGAAATTAGTTGTTAGGACAAAGGACAATTCATGACAACAGCAGGATTGTCATTAAATTTTTTCTAATATGGTTCTTCTTGAATTTAAGTTGGTCATTATTGGTTTTATCACATGTAATAAATAGTGTGTTTCTTAGTTTTGAGGAAACCCAAATGCATTCAAGATCACTTGCCTACAGCTGCCACCTAATGACAACGCTGCAACAGCCAGGTGATGTATTACTTAAACCACTGGATTTTTTGGACACTTATTTAGGAAAAAAAAGGCATTAACCAACCTGTCATAATTAGAAAGAATACTCAGATAAATTTACATTTAATGAGAATCTGTAAACAGGTCTGATAAGCTCCTCACATTAAAGAACTTGGCCATATTCTGCATTTACTCTATATAATGGATGGCAATATATTATCATAGCCACCATTGGTCATCAAAAAATTGTACTTGTTATCATATTGCTGTTGTGTGACTAGAAATAAATTACATGTCTTGTAATGACATGATTTTCCGGTACTTACTCTTGCATTGACTTCCATATCAAAGGCAGCTTTCTGCATCTCAAACTGTCTTTTAGAGTCGGCAATCTTTGTGTCTGCCATATATTTTGCATCAAGACGCAATTTCTCACACTCAGCTTCCTGTGAAAAAACAAAAGGGAGATAATAGATTATTATGTTGTGTTATTTTGTCTTATGTAACATTTCCCTTGATTCCTGCAAACAAGTTATGCCAGCTTTGTATTCTCAAAATTTATACGGTCAAGTAATTATCAAGATTGGACAAACCTATAAATATACAACAACAGGGAAATATCAAATTACTGCAAAAAATTTGATAAAATTGAAAATAATTACCCTAATACCAGCATCTCTGTTTGCTTCAGCGACACCAATATCAGCGTCACGTTTCACGTTGGCTGTCTGAGCCCTACCAAGAGATGAGAGGTATTCCACATTGTCGTAAATATCTTTGATGGTGAAACTGAGGATTTCGATACCCATCTTACCCACGTCAGGGGAGGCAACTTCTCTCACGAGCTGAGCAAACTGGTCACGATCCTGATATATAGCTTCCACGCTCAATGTACCTATAACACCATAGTAAATCATACTTAATTATTCATTTTAAATTTCTTGATGATTTGTGTTCTTTAGGATTTAGACAATTTGTGTTCTTTAGGATTTAGACAATTTGTGTTCTTTTGGATTTAGACAATGTGTTCTTTAGGATTTATATATTGATTTAAAAGGGGGATGGGAGGAACAATTATGAAATGAGGGCCCTGTTCAAAATACTTTTTACAAATTAACTATATCTCTGACAAGAAGTGATTCTATTTTTCCTAATCATGCAGACTCAGACATGAAGTTAATGCAAAACCAAGCTTAATAAACTTCAAATCTTGTTCTGTTCTGGGTTATAAAAGCATCATTCTCAATTTAAACCAACCCATCAATAGTATTAACCTGATGTGAAAGTCCTTGGTTTCTTTGAATTCGAAACCTGGGAATTTCGAGTCTAGGGTTTGAATGTCAATGTGAAGCAAGCTTGTAGCTTTTTGAATCAGCCTTGGTCTGCTTCCAGGAACAAACCAGTATTGGTGTTACATTAGGAAATATTGATTATGACCCAAGTAAGGTTCAAACCAGCATGTACCATCACTAGGTTAAGAGGCAGACACATAAACCACTGCCCCCTCAAACCCACCTACCCCCCATTGGGTATATTCATGTTGTATTAAGAAAGTTAGCAATATTTATGCTAGCCAAGGTATAGATCTGTCATTATGCCAGTTTCATTTACATATTTAAGAGAGTCATTATCAAATATTTTACCTAAGATAGCTCTAAGATGACCTTCCAGTGTCTGTAGGATGACTCTCTGTATGTGATCTACAGATTTACCAAGGAACTGTTCACAAGCTGTCTTCAAAATGTCAGGTTGTCTCATGATCTTGCACTGAGCCACGCCAGTAACAGTCACTGGTACACCCTCTGATGTTTCCACACTCTCACACTGAGGGTTCAAAGTCATAACCTCCAGAGATATGCTGTTAATTATAAACAATGTTAATGATCAATCTAGACTATTTCTATTTTCAATGTAAATTTTTTTATATTTTGTTCAAAAGGTCGACAAATGAACAGGCCCCTAGATTTACTTTAGCCCATAGGTGGACCATTGTTATCATATAAATGGTATATTAGGAATGTTTTTATTTAAGTCACCTTTGAGATTTTAATAAAGGGGTGATTATTATATAACAAAACATTACCTCTGAGTGTCTGTCACACACCACCAGGCCCATCCCCAGCCTCCGACAATAAATTTACGTCCATCCCCACAGCAGCCACCTGAAATATATCACATAAATATGTTAGATTAGATTCTACTATTTTTGGTCAATGTTTCAAATATTTCCTCAAACTTTACAACTTAGCCTAAAGAGAGTATGCAAGTACCATCCTTTACCTAGAAATTGGCATCAGTTTTAAAACAAACTTTGTACTCTTCATACAGGACATTGTTTAAATATCTAAACTATAAGCCTTGCAGTTTATTTTTAGATTGCAGATGACAAAGATTTATTTCTCCCACTTGTACAATTTCTGTGATAATTTGATTAAATTAAAAATTAAACTGCTGTAAAACAGATATGGAAGCTGTGAATTATTTAGTAGGTAAATCTGCTGCAATTAAAATGAAATTGTATAAGTGACATAATGCTCATTTATTCACTGAGTTGAATTGACTATATATTTCAAAAGATTGACTGTTAAAATGGTGATTGACCAACAATTGATATTGGAATTTGGAAAATGTATTATAAAATATAAATCATGCCTAAAATATATAAAGACTGCCCCACTCGTTTTATAAAGTGATCGTTACAGTTCAATTCCCATAGATATTTACAGAAATTTCCTTGGGCCATTTGAGTATCATTTATCATTATGCAAAGTAAATTATTAAATTGAAAGGAATGGTGGCAAAATGAAAATTTATTTTTACTTTCACCCTGTTCACTCACTATATACCCTTGGTGTGGCATTCACTTATCGTTCCAATCAATTCAACACTTCACAAGACATAACATTATGTATAATGTATCTTTTTCCAATCTAGTGTCATGTACATCATTACATGTATATTTATATTATAAAAGTATAAAGTAATTCTATCCTCGGTACATTAAAATTCTATATAAATTATTAAATATTACTAATAAATAAATCAGCAGTACTTTGCCGGGTATTTAATTTCAAGCATACTGCCTCAACAATAAAATCAACCAAAAGGGGAGTTATTAACTTAAGGAAAATCTCTTATTGATTAAATATTGACATCACTGTTTATAAACATACTGTCAAAATTTAACCCCTGCATATTCTGAGACACTTCTTGTCAGAAAAAAACCATTAGCCTGAACTAAAAAATACAGGATTACACTTGTATGCCTTATAATGCAATTTCTCATATGCCATGCCACAAAGTTTAAAATACATATGTGTATTGCAATGATTTGAGACTACTAAATTACCCCTCTGTAATCTAGTTGCTTTGTTTAGATATCATATTCATGGATATTTGTCTGGCCATGTGTAAATCAACATACTGGTAGCTCTAGACCCAGTCTAGTAACTGTAACCCACGCATGTTTCATCAATATTTTATTCTATGGTATGGAATATTGGAGGTTATACATAAATAATAGTATAGAGAATTTATTAATAGCACATTGGCTAGTGGTTTTGTACACATTTCCTGGTTGCCCTATCTAGTATTAGAATTTACTGTAAGTCTAACATGTACATGTGTTAAACACTTAAACACCAAGCGGTCATCTTTATAAACCTAATAACCACCAATAAGTAGAGCTTTCTAGATTTGCATTAAGCATTCAGTATTTCAGATATATTTGTGGAAGCAGTTTAAATGCTGGTGGCTATTTATTGATACTCTATCTATGCAACACGGGCAGAATGAGATAATAGCTAGGTCCTCATTCACAAAGCCATTGTTTAAAGGCACCTTATGCCTCAAAAATCAATATTCTTAAATTATTTTTAAATGTCAGAAACATGTTTAAGCATGTTTCAATAATGGATTTAGAGCTTGTTAGATGTTAAACAACTGAAAAAAGTAGCACATAACTTGCAGTAATGTGTCCAAAAGGTAGCAAAATGTAAACAAAACGGTAGTTTGACTTCCATACAAAATACTAATTAACTATTATTATGTTGATTGCCAACATAGCTATAGTTGCAAAAGATAGTCCATGCATGTAGCAAATGAGTATTACTTTTAAAACTTTAACAAAAATCAATATTCTTAAATTATTTTAAATGTCAGAAACATGTTTAAGCATGTTTCAATAATGGATTTAGAGCTTGTTAGATGTTAAACAACTGAAAAAAGTAGCACATAACTTGCAGTAATGTGTCCAAAAGGTAGCAAAATGTAAACAAAACGGTAGTTTGACTTCCATACAAAATACTAATTAACTATTATTATGTTGATTGCCAACATAGCTATAGTTGCAAAAGATAGTCCATGCATGTAGCAAATGAGTATTACTTTTAAAACTTTAACAAGATACCAAAAATTAAAAGATTTAGAGAAATTAAATTGGTAGCATCTGTGAGGCATAATGGGCCTTTAATGAAAATTCACGATAATTGTCAAAGTGAAGTTATTGGCAAAATTGTCCATAGTGGGGCGGGAAATAAGGTCTCTGCTGTCAAAATAGTGCAAATTGTGATACAAGCATGAAACTTTCAGGAAATTATCTTTAGACCATGTAGATTTCAAAAGTGAAGTGGGCCCAAAAATATCTCTGCTCATTCAAGATGGCCGCCATTTTCAAGATGGCCGCCATATAAATTTGATGTACATAATAGCTCATTCATTCCAATTTTTTGTACAGACCTGAAACTTACACCAAAGCATGCATATAGTTTCCCCTTTTCAAAAATTTAAATCTTTAAGCAATTTCTCTTGCATTTTTCTTCAGAATCCAAGATGGCGTCCAATATGGCTGCCAATTTTAATGAAAACTGATATATCTCTTTTGCAGTATAATTTTTTGCACACGGTATGCGTATTTCCATATAAAATTGTGAAATATATTAGAAAAAAATCAAATTTTAGGTTAACCACATTGTTAGTCATGTTTTTAGTTTTTTTGTACAAAAAAAATCTTTAAAAAAATCAAAGAAAAAGTGCCATTTTTTTCATTTTTCTCTAACATGGTTTTCTAGGTCTATGTACAAAATTTCAAAAGTTACATAGTTTCTTAAAGTGTATTTGATATTCAATCAACACTATGTTTTATTGTATAATTGTAACAAAAACAAACAAAAATGTGAAGGTTTTATACTTATTAAAAGTGGGTGGGGTAAATTTATCAGACAATTGTAGTACAAAATAACGTTTTTTAAGAATTCTTATGCAAATATTCACTGTAAAAGTATTTTATTGTATTAAGGTATTTTTGTTTTCCTTCAGGTCTAGAGGGTGTACTAAAATATCAATAAATGCAGATACAATCATATGTATACATTCAGTTATTAAATGTGTTTGCATGATATAAGTTGTTTCAATATTCTTAATACAATTTGATAATTGTACAGAAAGAATATTCATCAACGAACCATATGTTAGATAAAATCATGCCTGGACCTTAGTGAAATGTTGTCTATTTATGAATACAATTATTTCCTGCACAATTTAGTCTTGCTAAAAGCTTGTAACAGAATGATTCAAAGTCATGTTAACTTGCACATCATTGTAACCAAGTATAATTGAATTAGTACCGTCCATTTCTAATAACTTATGTAGAAATGATATTTTCAAAAGAAACAAATACGACTGATACATCATACTATCTAATGACTAGGTGTGCTAAAATAGGTATCAATAAAACCGCTTGACCCACATAACAAACATAGCTTATACTTTGGAATATAAACTAAATGTATTCCTACTTTATTTTTCCCATTAAACAAGAGCATTGTTGACCCTAGATCACGCGCCTAAGACCCACTGCTGGAAAAGGTATATAATTCTTTTATACTAAAGAATGCTAAAATCATATAAGGAGTATCTTTTTTCACCAGTCATGATTTATAAACTATTTGAAAAGAATCATGTCCAATAACTAGGCTCTCAGAACTACAAAAAGACTCATATAACTATATTCCAATAAAAGTCCATGTAAACTAAGTGATTTTGACCCTATGCCAATAGTTTATAATCTTTATATAGCATCACAATGTTATGATATATTTTCTCTTCTCTGTGCACATAGTTTCGGAAAAGAATTTTAATATATGAGTCAATGTAAACTAAGTGACAGAGAAAGCCATTTTGGACTACAGGAACATGATTTAAAGGCCCGCACGAGGAACACAGTTTTTAAAGACTTGTGAAGGGAATCGCATTGAAGTTGTTTTGTTGTTGTTAAAAAAAAATCAACAAACAAACAAACTGTAATGCCTAGAGCTTAGATAGTCAAAATATTACCTTGCCAAGTAAAGAACACCTCTTTAAAAGTTACATAAAACAATTTTGGATCATAAAGTGTACATGCAATAGAAAAAATCTTCTCAAAAATCAAAATGCATAGAGCACAGGTACTAAGCTGGCATGTAGCACCACCTTGGGTCTTTATTAACACATTTAATGAATAAAGCTCATAGAGCCACCTGGGTTCACTTGTATAGGAAAACACATTAAAAACATCTAGTGTTAAACTACATTGACTTGAAATAAGATATTTGGGATGTAGACTGATATAACATGCATAAATTTGTATGATGCTACTGCAGTCTAAAATGGTTTTGCAATGGTATCACTTAATTTACAATAACTACTGTAATAAATCTGTTTTCTCTTAACCTACAGTATCCGACGCATATTATACATTAATCTTGTATCATCATTAAATTATGTTATAATAATGATATATCATGGACAACATGGTCCAAATTTACCAAACACAAAAGGTCACTAAGTTTATATGGACTCGTATATAGATATGGTTATTAAAGTCCTCTCGTATGAAATAAAAATTGAAAGCAGATATTGAGCATGTTTCTTTAAAAGCAACCGGATTCAATTATGACACAAATCATGTGTGTTATGACATAATTGACATAACTGACACTCCCAAAATGATCTTGTTACCTTTTTTGCAACAATGATCTTAGGTGAGTGATTCAGGGTCATCATTACCCTCTTATTGAAAGAAAAAATAAAGATATGATTACTTTAGGAAATACTAGTACACTTAGTTTGTATCTTAACTTTTCAAAACGTTGCATGCAGGCCAGGCCATATCATTGATATATAT